GGAGGGTGGGAGAGGAAGGAAGGGGGTAGAGCGCGCCAGAGCAAGAGAAAGAATGAGAGAGAGAGAATGGTTGCCTCCTGCATGTGCCCTGACCAGGGCTGGGTTCAAACCTGCAACCCAGGTATGTGCCCTTGACCAGGAATTGAATCCGTGACCCTTTGGTGCGCGGCCTGACAATTAACCACTGAACCACACTGGCCAGGACAGTGTAACAACTTTTTGTAGTGTTGCTAGAATTATCCAACAACATGGCCTGTTGCCGAATCATTCGCCCTCCTGTTAGCCAATTATTTCCCTTGGTTTCAAGGACCATGCCTACCTGATGTGAGGTTTGTATAGTCAGAGTTTGTTCCATTGTTAACTTTTCTGTTTCTAGTATTAACATGCAAGTTGAAGCCAATGTGTGCTGCTGTGTTAAGTTGCTTAGAAAAATAGGCAGTCACCCATTTTAGAGGCCCCAGCATTTGAATTAAAATCTCTAGGGAGTCTTACGCACATATAAATCAAAAGGCTTTCCCAAATCAGGTAAGCCCAGGGCAGGAGGTTGCTCTAGCTTCATCTTTAGTTTTTCAAAAGTTTTTGGTCCTCTTTGCCCCACTCTAAGGGAGTACTCTCTTCTCCTTTCAATTTATCATATAGAGGCTTGGCTATAAGACCAAAATTAAAGACCTAGATCCTACAGAATCCTGAATTCTGAGAAAACCTTTTAATTGCCTCTGGTTCCACGGCGAAGCTAGATTCGCTATTACTACCTTTTGCTGGTAGGCGTCTTTGTCCTTGGGAAATAGAGAAAACCCAGGTACTTAACTTCTGGTTTGGATATCTGGGTCTTTATCTGGGATGCTTTGTAGCCCTTTTATGCTAGATGGTTTAAGGTCAGAATAGCATTTCTGTCTGAAATTTCTTTTATCAGGGTTGGAAATTAGAACATTATCTACATATTGTAGTACAGTCCCATTTTCAAGTTGGAGGTTTCTCAAATCTTTTGCAAGGACCTCCCCAAAAAAGGTTGGGGAGATTTTGAAACCTTGTGGCAATACAGCCCAGCAATACTGGGGCTTGTGATGGGTGTCAGGATCTTCCTATTCAAAGGCAATTTTTTTTTCTGGGAGTCATGGTCCAAGGGAATGCAAAAGAAAGCATCCTTTCTGTGTTATATATGTTAGATTCTGGGATATTGGTCAACAGGGTATAGGGGTTAGAAACAGTAGGGTGTACATTCTGTACTATTTATGGCCCTTACGTAGACTATAATTAAACAGGAGGGAAAAGTAAGGAGAATCAGCGATGCCACAAACGGCTGCTCATAGGAGGCAATGCTTCCTCACCTTTTCTCTCCAGACCCAGATGCCCACACTAGCAGTGTCACCTCCTACTCCAGTTGAGGCAGGATAATAAGATGTCAGGAGAATTTCTGACAAGTGGGAAAAGGAAGCCAGACAGACGGACAAATGGGACCAAACAACTAAAGCAATTTACAGCTAGCAAGTAAATTGCAAGCTCTTATCTTCCCTAACCAAGGACAACTGAGAGAGTAAATAGCTTAAATCACCCTGTTCCGGGAGATAGGTAGCAGAGACCCGATTAGTACCATTTGTGCCAGCCAAATCCAAGGACTGATGAAGGGAATAAATAACAAAAAGGAGGAAGTCTGGTAGCTTGGGCTGTAGCAAGTGCAATTCTGTACCACCTGGTGGGCTCCGAAATGTTTTATGTACACACAATCACTTCTCTTTGTCCACCCTGAAGGAAATGGGAACCGTGTACTTTTTTATATTAAAGAAGAGTCAATTCTGTGTACATTTTTCATTGTTCTCTCTGTAGGGTCTCCTCCTCTGGACAGCTACACACCACTCCCTTACAGCACGGCAGCTGGGTTCTAAGATAGCAGGGGCCGCAAGTGTGACCTCATGGGGCCCAAATCTAGGGCTGTCAGAGCAGCATTCCCCCCTCGGTCTGTCGGAAAAATCCAACAGGCCTGGTTCAAGGGGGGAACAGGCTCCTCCTCTTGATGGAGTGCACCTCTCACACACTTACACAAGGGGATGCAGTATTGGTGGCATCTTTGGGACCCCCCATCACAGTTAATGGCCTTTCTCTATTTACAGTTTTGTATCTGTTGTTAAAAATGAGGATTCAGACCAAGTGGTGATACGATATTGAGCGGGGGGAGTAGAGGGTGCTGGGTGTGGTGCTGCTACGCCAGCATTCCATGTGCTCTTCAGGAAGTCTGTATTCATTTGGCTTCCGTCTGCCACAATTGCTTTAATTGTTTGGTCCCATTTGTCCGCCTGCCTCAGTTTCCCTTTTCCCACCTGTCAAAAATTCTCCTAACATCTTACTATGCCGCCTAACTGGAGTAGGAGGTGACGCTGCTAGTGCGGGCATGTGGGTCTGGAGAGAAAAGGTGAGGAAGTGGTGGCCCCTGTGCGCAGCCCTTCGTGGCAAGTCTATTCATTTGGTCTCCGTCTCCTCATTTGTTCCAGTAGGGGTTTATACTGGGCGGGAGCTGACAGCACCAAATAATTTTTAAACTAAGTAAAAAATGCAGGTCAAGCACTTGGCACAGGTCAGGGCACATTTCAGGTGCTAGCTATTATCACCAGTTCCCCAGCCTTAAAGTCCTCGCTTCTAGTGTGAGAAGCAGGTATTCAACACGGCCAGGGGCTAAGTGACAGCAGCATCTCCCAGGAATGGCAGGGACTGTCCCTTTGCAAATCTCACAGCTAAGAGGGAGGAATCTTTCCCAAACCCAAAGAACTCAACCAACCAGTTTTCAAAAATCCCCTTTCCCATGTACTTACATTTCTATTATGGGTTTACCTCTTGGGTGTTAAAACATTTAAGAATCTGGTTGAGACACATTTCTGTGGGTTCCCTTTTAACCTTCCTAGGTTGACAACAAAAATACCGCCTCTACTGTTAGGCTCCCCATGTGCTGATTCCATAACTGAACCCTGGGGAAGAAGATAACCTAATAAAAGGGCTCCTGGTGGCTAACTGGATTCAAACAAACAAACACACAGAGCCTAGCAGCCATTTCTACACAGGGATCTCTCATGCAAATGGCACTTCAGGGAGAAGCCTGAATCAAGCTACCTGCCTCCTGCACTAAACTGAACTGCCTTCTGCCATCTGATCCAGCCCTTTATAAAGTAGTTCCTGGAATCCTATTTCACCCAATAGGACTGAGCCTTTCCCTTTCCACTTGGAGCTGCAGGAGTATATCTACCTCAACTGATCTTTACAGAGGCACCATTCTGACCAGTCAAACTGAAAGGATTTAGAGCTCTCATTGGCCTGAGGATGGATCAATCAAGGAGCAGAGGCAGGGATTAATGACCACAGAAGTCAGCTCTCCTTTGGCCCTGGGGGTGCACTTTCCATTTGGCATTTTCACTTTCCACCTTAAGACTTCGTTTCCCCAGAGCTGAAACAGCAAAGATGTCTTTCTGGAGAGGGAACAGAGCTGTCTAGCTGCTGTTCCATAGCTGTGCTGCATCACAATTGAACTGTTTGCATTGAATACTTTCCTTCAACCTCAAATTGGGGATTCCTATTGGCCTTGATGCTGCCGACACAATCTCATTTATTTTTTACTACAGCGGGGAAGGGAGCTATTACTCCCATTTTCTACAAACGTAAAATGAGGCACAGAGAAGTTTAGGAACTTGCCCAAGATCACAGAGCTAGGAAATCCAGGGTTTGAACCCAGGCCACAGAGGCTGAGGCCCCAAAGTTACACAGTTCCAAATCAGGCAGTTGGGTGATAAACACATTGGATCCCAGGTCCCCACAGCCTCCTGGCCAGTGGGCCCCTGATCAGCCCATTTAGCCCATAGGGGCTACTTGTGTTAGGGGCAGAAATATTAATCATGCTCTGTTAACCGTGATTGTTCTGATCAGAGAAAGCACATTCTAACCTGGCTGTGAGCTGTATGCCCCTGGGACATGGGAATTAATTTTGGAATTTGGTGCATTCTCTTCTTATCATCTTGGGAAAATTAACAGTCTTGTTCCCGAAACAATGGAGTCCTGGAGGTACCCCCTTTTCGTGACCCCCTCAGCCCACATTGCCTGTAACCTGTTAGCATTATATCTTGCCTACTTCCCCATGCCTGTATTTCCTACTTTCCCATGTAATCTTTGTCTTTCTACCCAATATAAGCAGCTAGCTTATGGGGGAGGGGGGCGGTAGAACAGATTTTCCTGGATGATCCCTCCCCCATTCTCCCGTATTGCCAGCAATACTGGACTAAACGCTCATATAGAACTCAACCCTGTCTCTGCTTAATTGGCTCAAGTAGTGACAGGCAGCCTGGACGAATTCCTTGTCTAGTTTCACTTTGTGTTTGTGTGTTAGGAGGTACAGACTGGTCTGGGGTGTGTGTGGGGGTGTGGGGGGGGGGCCGTTCTCTCTCAATGGCACACAAAGAAATTACTACTTTGACTTCAGCCTGAGATGCTAAGCGACCCGACTCTGGTTCTCACACCCACCTGTGCACTTCCTTGCATTTGTCGCGTCTGTTCTATGAGGGCTGCTGCCCTGGATCCGGGAGGCCCAGGCTGGGCCCAGCCCGCGTCATGGACGCACGTGTCTCTGCTGTTTATTGCGCAGCGCTGCCGTCCGAACTTGAAGACACACGAACTGAAACCAAAACAGCCCGAAGCCCCGCGCCAGGGCGAGCGCGCAGATGAGCGCAGGCCAGGGGGGCGCCCCTCAGCGTCGCCGGGGCCAGGACTCTGCTCGGCGCGCGTTTCCCAGCGCCCCCACCCAGGCTGCGTCTCCTCCTCCTTTGCGGTCTCCTTCTCTAGGGCGGGGAGAGAGGAGGTGGGGACCCGGCGGGCTCCCGAAGGCAGCTTCAGGCCAGGGACCGGCCTGAGGAGTGGGTGGTGACAGAAGGGCGGAGACGGGGCGGGGCCCTCGGAGCGAGCGAAGCTTCCTCCCCCCGCTTCTCCAACCCGGGGCTTCAGATCCTGCTGCAGGTACCGAGGCCTCGGGGCGTCGGGGAGATGGCCGCACGCAGCGTGGGCAGCGGCGTCGG